TTATTTCCTTCACATATTTAGGCAGTAAAACCACCCAAATATCAATAAAACACAAAGGTAGGTTCTTTAAACCTATCTTACACTACCATGAACTTGAAATATTCTATTTTTTGGATGATGTTAAAATGATATCATAGTAGGGCCTCCCCTGGTGGCGCAGCGATTGAGCGCTGGGTTGCGAGGCTGCCCGCAGCCTCTGCAGCGCCAGTTCGATCCCCGGCCACCGGCGAGGGTACCACAAAAAAAAAAAAAAAAATCATAGTAAGTCTCCATTAGAAACTATGAAAGGGCTTGTATTCAAGTATGATACTTCCATTCATCAAGTACTAATTAAATAGTGGTTTGGGGTATGCAGAGTAATAAAGAAAAGATTTCATAAACAATTTTGTGTCTTTCAAGATACACTTGTAAACCAAGCAAAACCTTTTAAAAGACCGGTCTGAACAGTTTAAATATCTGTCCAATTTCCAGAAACAAATATGAGGAGTTTTGTGAACCTCGAGTTGCTTGTTTCATCGACCACCCAGGCCAAAGGCATTTGTACAAATCCTCTGAAAGACACCCATCCATTAAAAGGCCACAAGGCAAAATGCCAAGTAGCACATCCCAGTAGGAGTGGATAAAGCCATGTCCTAGAAATTATTAAGTGAATATCTATTTTTGGTTTTGTGAATGAGCTATTCTATGTCCCAGTTGCTCTTAGGCTTAAAATAGGGAGACACTCCACACCCACCACCAGTTACTGTGCTAGTTATTCTCCCTGAGACTAGCTTCCCTTCTCTGTCCCTTTCTCCCTGTTTGCACCTGGACACCCATCTTTCAATCCTGCTTTTTAACTGAGCTTCTGGGATCTCTAGCTTCCGGTTGGGTTTGGTTAAGAGGAAGCACTGAGAGGAGCAGAGCAGGCAGAGAGAGACAAGGCAGAGAGAGACAAGTGTTTTCTGTTTATTTCTCTGGCTCTTTATAGCTGGGCTTCAAATAATGGCAGTGATTATGTTCCCCACCAATGGCCACAGTAACATGGAGGCGGCCCTTTTGCTGTGGCCACACTCATACAGGTACAGGTGATGCTCTGTTCTTGCTTCATTCACATTTCCAAGCTTTGGGTGGGGCCAGCTACTTTGTGTTCCTTATCCAAGGACACTTTACCAGCTCCCGATGGCTCCTCTCACTCTATCCACACCTCTGCAAATGGATGCTCTTTTTCCTTTCCAGCTTTGTTGAAGTATAATTGACAAAAATTATAAATGTATGCATGTGAAATAATCACCACATCAAGTTAATCCACACATTCATCTCACAGAGTTGACTTTGTGTGTGTGAGAACACAAGAGGTACTGTCTGAGCAAGTTTCCAGTGTATAGTAGAGTCTTCATTGGTCATAAAATACACCCTGGGGTGTATTTTATGTCCCTGGGGTAGATGCAACTTATAGGTGATAATTTCTATCCTTTGACCAACAGCTGCCTACACCCTTACTCCTACCTCCTCTTGTTGGCCATCCTTCTGCTCTCAGCTTCTGTGACTTTTATGCCTTTAGCTTCCATGGGTAAGTGAGCTTATACCTTACTGTCTTTTTATATCTGGCTCATTTCATTTGTCTTAGATCCTCCAGTTTCATGCATATGGCTGCAAAGGATTTCCTTTTTTATGGTTAAATAATATTCTATTGTGTATGTATGTATCACTTTTTTCATTTCCCAACATATCCATTAATCCATCAATAAATGCTTAGATTGTTACCATATCTTGGCTATTGTGAGCAATGCTTGGATGCACATGGCAGGACAGATATCTCTGAATCATAAGTTCGTGTTGACAGTGTGTGGATTAATGGGAATACTTGTGTGCTGCCTGAGGAGATGGAAGTTGGTACAACCATTGTGGAGAAAAGGTTGAAGACTTCTCAAAAAATTAAAAAATGGAGCTTCCATATGGCCCAGTAACAGATACTCTGTTAATAGTTCCCACCTACTTCTTTTGTGTGTGTCTTCGCTTTCTGTGAGATCTTGCAGAGTTATCAGCCCCTGATGATGTGTTATTATATATTTGCAAATATCCACACAACTGGTTTGTTTTTAACCATGTATCAGTAAAGATTAAATGTAAAATAAATAAAGAAATGTTGCAGGCTAACTTTTATGGGGTGTAGTTCAATTGGAAATTGTGTTTAGTGCATTTTGTGTGACATTATAGAAATTAGAGGTCCTATTTCTTGGTTATTTTGAAGTCTTCCACTGAACGTTAGGTTCCCTTGATAGCTAATAATTTATTGAAAAGTGAAAGACCACGGAAGTCAGTAATGGAGCTGCTGATCTGGTTTTTGAGAGTGACTTGCCTGGATCAGTGAAAAGGGAGAACTGACAATTACCAATTACTAAATTTTTCTACATACATGATGACCATGATATCAGTCATTTAATAAGGGTTAATGCCATTTTTTTCTTCACTCGATCAGCTATTTATTATTAGACTTAATTGCACATGAACAAACTGAATCTCACGAAAATTAAACTGGTGTCCCTTAGAGCTAAATCTTCTGGGTCCTTTGTCAGTGATTGGTCCTCTGTCAGTGTAGCAGGTGCCCTGTAATTTCTGGTGGCTGACATATATGCTATGTTGTCACCCTGACCTTCCACCCTTTATGTCCATTGGATTTCTCAGGGAAATCTGTGTCTCTGTGATACTTAGGAAACTTAACTGATTTCCCTCAGCCACATCAAGCCAGGAATTCACCATGCCAACACACCAAACTACAGAACTCAGGAGAAGCCTTCTTAGAAGGACTTAGCAAGCAAGAACATAGTTCATTTGTTCTAAACCACAGAATTTCAATCTGGTTTCTCCCCAGAGAGTTTGGGGGTGATGGGACACTTCTTGGTGAACCGCAGCATGGAGAGGAAGCCTATCCTCTCGGATCCTCCTTACAGGCAATCAGGGTTTTCCTCTGGAGGACACATCACCACCCATTTTTCTATGCTGGACCAACACTAGCTTTTACTATTGATGTGTATAAAATAATTAACATAATTTTCCCTTTTAAGAGCCATACTGTTGCAAGTAAACAGTGCTTTTATCTTATGGCACTCCTAAAACTGTCCTTTTAAATTTAACACTGAGAAAGGGACCTCTCTGGTGGTGCAAGGGGTTAAGATGCAACCTATGAAGCATGAGTTCAATCCCCGGCCAGCCAGTTTGTTGATCCACATGGGGCAGCAGACCTCTCCTGCCGTGCCCACTGCTCCCCTCAGCAGTGTATTTCACTCAGTCTGCCTGTTCTGTTTCCCACTCTGTCTCTGGTGAATCCTCTCACTCCCCACACCTCTGGCCTGTACCCCAGTTCTTGCATGCATAAATAATCTTTAAAAAATAAAACTGAGAAAGAATTCCTTTATTCTCAGCAGTATTTCCCTTTTTATTAAAGTAATGAAGCCATCTTCCTAGTGAGTCATGAACACCTGAGATATATTAGGAATTACCTGGAAGAAATACGTGACTTATGCAACCAACATATACCTAGAGGCCATGCCAGTATCTCCCACACATAAGTCTCTACTTGATGTGGTACCTACATGGGCGTAAATCATGTATATGCATTTATAAAAGGTTCTATAGCTACTGAAGAGATTGCTTAACTATTAATAAACTTTATAGTTGTAATATACCATGTACAATTGTGTCAGTGTGTTCAGATTTACGAGAGCCTGTGACACAGAGGCATATCTGCATTGTAAATAATTCAAATTTTTGGCCCCGTGACACAGAGTTGCATCTGCATTGTAAATGATACAAATTTTTGGATAGCCATATAAATCAGTTTTACTATAAAGTATGTTGATTTGCATAATTTCACATAAATGTCTTTCTGTACTTGCAGCATAAAATAGTATTGACCACTGCATAAAACGCTATTGTAGATATGTTGGTAGGTAACGGTATACATCCTATGTGATTTGAGTTCTTGAAAATGAAAGGAAACTTAAGGCATAAAAACAAAAGGTGCAAGGGTTGTTAGTTTGATAGCATAGCATTTTACATTGTGGTAATATTGTATAAAATCTGAATTTATATTTTGCATTTATTACATTAGCCACCCATCCCACTGCTAAAAGTGAAATGGTTACAAATGGGCTTCATCAAACATTATGCCTCCTATTATCCTTAGTCCCAATCTTAAAAAAGGCTGACTTAACCAATCAATTTGCAATTTTTGCATTATTAAGAACATATTCTCTTCATACCATTGAGAAAAAGCATCTGTATATCATGTTCTCATTCCAGAACATCGCCCCTGGCCAAAGCTTTCTTCTTAACAACATAAAAAGTAAGAAATGCAGAAAACAGCTAGTCCCAGAAAATTTAGTTTAAATGCCCAGCATTCCTTTAATAGAAATTGCAGGTAGAATTTCATCTGTATTAGTCAGGGTTTTAGAATAGCAGGTAGTATGTGGATCTAACTGTCAAATTTCTATGAGTAATTCAATTGGCATGGAATAAATTTGGTTATATTTTTGACTGCTTGGTATTTCAAGGTTTTTAATTTTTTTTCCATTGTAGAGATAAACCCAAATGTAAAAGCCATTTAGTGTGGCAATTTCCCCCACTGATGCACTAACCCCGTGTCTCCCTCAACAAGTCCTGCCTTAAAGACCTACTGTATATTTTTCATTAGACACGATAAATTGAATGTATATATTTATATCTTCTTCCTCCCCAAACTGCACAAATAAGAGGGAATTAAGAAAGAAGACTATGGAGGCCAGACTACAAGCTGGGATTCAATGAACCCTGACTCCTGGTATTCACAAAATGTGTGGTCTCCCCATTTGTACCAATGGAGTTGGTCTGGGTAGGGTTGCCCTGCTTAATTAACATCACGTGGCAGAAGTGCTAGTGCATCATTATAACATGAAGTTATGAAAGAATACACCTTCCTCCTCTTACAATGTCTTTCTGTCCTTCCTCAAACAGTCCTCTGGAGAGTCCTACTTGGAGAAAAACTAAACCTTGACTCAAAAGCCAGCTTTGAACGAACACACCAAAAACATGGTGAGTCCTGCTTCATCCTTTAGGTGAAGCAATCCCAGGTGGATATCTTGACAGTAATCTCTTAAGACACCTTGAGCTAGTGCCATCCTGCAACTCCAGAGTCCTGAGCCCCAAAACCTAGATGATAAATGCTTGTTGTTTTAATCTGCTGAGTTTAGGGTACTTTTTTCACACAACAAATACCAGTGCATAAATACGCTCAGAGAATGAGATCAGGAGTGCTGTCAACAGATAAGGAAATTTACAGGATTGTGAATACAAATCACATATATTTGTGTAGTAGCGACTGAGAAGCAAACCAACCCATGCCATGGTCCTTCATGAGGACTCAGGGATTGGAGTCACAAGGGATCCCGAAAGAGCAAAGGGACTAGGGTAGGCAACGATGGGCAAGCGGATGCCAGTATGTGTATGAAGCAGCCAGATCCCAATGTGATATCATTTACCTAAATGGGGGAGAGACTTGTTCTATGGAGAAAGCAAACCAGAACTTTCCAGAGTGAGGTAACAGTCACAGTGGATGTTTGGTGAGAAGCGCTGAGCTGAAAGCAGGAAGGTCAAAAGAACTTTCCTGTATCCAATAATAAGACTATAGGCTCCCTTCTGAGCTCAATTCAAGCAGGCATTACTATTATGACCCAGCGTTATCTTGTAAGCTCAGGCATTAAATTGCTTGATTCTTGATAGAAAGTAAGAGGGAGGAAGAGAAGTAGGGAGAGAGAGAGAGGGAGAGAGAGGCAGAAAAGAGAGAGGGAGGATAGAGAAGGGATGTGAAGGGAGAAGGGTCTGCCATAAATCTTTATATTTACTGATTTGGTGAACAAATGAATGAGCATCTGATCCTGTGGAGAACTGCGTTCAGGCAGGTTTATAATCCATTATAAACTCGTGGAAGAAACAAAAATAGAGTTATGAAAACCTAAGTAAAATAAACAAGTAAAAGTCAATTAAAATTAAAAGTATCAATTTCATCTCCAGGACAAAGCAAAAACAAAATGTAATCCAAAAAAATGAAAATGCCATTATAGGTCACTACTAGGCACAGGTGTGAGAACTAAGTCACAGATGTTGCTGGGGTGCAAAATAAATCATCCCATACCCCTCTGGGTTCTTCTCAGACCAGACGAGTCATCAGAACAGCACCAGATGAGTCAGTAAAGGAAAAACAATTAATAACATGCCTATGGAGACTTCACGTGGTTGTAAATTCCAAAGAATAACGGGGCAGTCCAGGAATATTTATCCTGTTTTGGGAACTGGGGCATGAGGGACAGAGGAGTTTTCCATGACACACCAAGGGGGGTGAGCTCATCCTGACTGAGAGTAAAGATGAGATTCTTAGCCAGAACCTGTTTGCTGATAAACCTGGAACTGGATAAGAGCCCCCAACTTCTAGGTCATAAAACACAGGCCAGTGATTGCTTCTCTGATGAGGAAAAGGGCGAAGACTTTAGGCAGGATCAGAATTTTCTTTCAGCTTTCAGTGCCCTCAATTTTCTTTTTTCTTTTCTTTTTTTTTTTAATGAGGAATTTTTTTTTTTTTCTTTTTAAGATTTATTTATTTCTACAAGCACTGGGTACAGTCAGAAGGGCGGGAGGGTGAGAGGATTCACCAAAGACAGAGTGGGGAGCAGAACAGGCAAAAGGACCGAAGTACACTGCTGAGCGGAGCAGCGGGTGGCAGGAGAGGTCTGCGCACCATGTGGGACCCTCCTCCGGTGGCCGGGGAGCAGCCGGGGATCGAACCAGCGCTGCAGAGGCTGCGGGCAGCTTTGCAACCCAGCGCTCAACCGCTGCGCCACTGGGGAGGCCCAGTGCCCTCAATTTTCTTAACCCAAAACGATCTGCATCCTTGAAGTAATGGTGAGAGAACCTGACACTCATGGAGTCTTGTTTGACCTCTAGTCAAGGTGACAAGAAGATGACTCTGGTGCATTGAGCAGAATCTATCTGGCACTTTTGGGGAGACATACTTCAGAACGTTGTGAAAGAAACAATAGACAGTGGCTTAATCAAATTTACTAACTGGAAGGGCAGAGGGAGGGAGAGTAGGGAAGGAAAGCAGTTGTACTCAAACCTCACAGAAAATCAACTGTGATAGTGTAAAAATGGGTCATCTTGAAAGAGCAGTAGATGCAAATCTTGGCTTTGAGGTGAAATCAAATACCTTAAAAAGAACTAAAAGAGTTGAAATGGTTTATTTCTGGAAAATAGAGCACAGGTTGTGAAGAGGTGGAGGAGGGATGATTATTTTAAGCTGTGCAATATTTGTAATTTCTTTTTTTTAAGATTTATTTTATTTATTTATGCATGCAAGAGCTAGGGTGTAGGCGAGAGGTGGGGGTTGTGTGTGAGTAAGAACATTCACCAGAGACAGATTGGGGAGCAGAGCAGGAGGATTGACTGAAATACACTGCTGAGGGGAGCAGTGAGTGAGACAGGAGAGGTCTGCTGTGCCCTGTGGGTCAGATCCCTGGCCAGGGATCAAAGTCGTGCTGCAGTGGCTGTGGATAGCTTCATAGTGCTGAGACTTAACCCCTTGCGCCATCAGGGAGGCCCCGATATTTGTAATTTCAAAACAATGCATTTGCTTGCTCAAAATTTAAAGTAGTTAAAAAAGATATCACAGCTCAAAAACAGCTGATAACTGCAGGTTTAAAGAAAAGCTATCGATGCCTAAAAAGAAAGTCATTCATCCTAAGTTCTTGCTGAGGCACTTGCATTCAGCTGGGCAAGTGACATGATTTTATTCCCAGTGAACGCTGTATCTTAGCTGGTTGGTACATCTAGGTTGAGTGAATGAACTTTATTAAGTCATGTTATAGGTCAACAATAAATATGCCATATACCTGGCAACTGATCCATAAAACAAAGTTACACACTTTGATTGCTGCTTCCCTGGCGAACTCATATTAAATTATGTATTTAAATACAATTCTTTGAGGTCATCATGAATGACCTCCTACACTGCTCAAATTGTTGTGTTACAACTTCAGGATTTTGATCCTTTCTACCAATAACAAGCCAAAAAAAGGACAGGAACGGTACAATAAATAGTCGATGTGTTTGACAAGTACTTTTAAATGGACATTGAGATAAAGAACTCCTTGATACCTGATAATGTTTTTTTTCTTTTTTTTCAAAATGGTAAACCTATTTATAGTAAATGAACTATTTCTTTATATAATTATGTTTAATTATTATTTATATGTTCATGTTGTCTTAAATCGTTTTTTCTGACTTAGTCAATATGCCACTTTTCTTGCAAACGAGTTAAGTAGCCACTATTTGTTTTGTTCTGTTTTGTTTTTGGTTTTGCCACCCATGTGCTGAACACAACTATCCAGGGACTTGCCATATTTACTTAGGTCCAGTTTTTCATCAGCCAAGCGGTAAAAGTTATTTTCATATTGGGAAAAACGTTGGACTCTACAAGCTGGGATGCAAAACATCTCTTCCCACCCTTTTATTTATGTATTTTTTTCTTCCCTAAAATATGGTACGTGCCTAATACCTTTTCCTATGTATTAATTTAATGAAATGACTCTTTGCAAGAATTGCTTGCTAATGATAGGATTTGAGTTGTGGCAGGCAATATTTAGGGTATTTATTTTTAAATAGGAATGATGTGTGTATTTATGGATAAATGGTCCTATTTCCCCTGGAAAATCATGGGTATTTTCTGAAGGCTGTTTTCCTGTAAGTATAAGCTTCTTCCTGGGTGTAAAGTCATTAAAACTAAATCTAATTTCAACTCATATTTAACATAGCAAATATTATTATTCTATTTCTTTATCAAAGACTGGTAGTGTTGGATTTCTATAAGCTGTTCATGATGGGGAGGAAAAAATATATATATATTTATATGTGATCTATATTACATGTAATACAATATTAAATTATATATAATTTACTCATAATTATACTTCTTATAAATATGAAAAATATGTATCCATGTGTGTCTTTGATGTTTTTATATTAAACGTTTAATAATTTAAAAGCCAGAGCAATAATTTATACTTTTTAAAATAGTATAAAGACCAGTGACAGTGACGAAGTGTCCATTTCTGCCTTGCCTCTAAAGAAAGCACCATTAATCTTTCAGAAGACATTTATTAACCCAGATGATGATTTCACAATGTGGATTCCACCTGATGTACTTTTTGGTTAATATGTGTTTAATTCTGACCTTGGAGACGCTACCTCATAAGGGTTAGACCAACAGCGTGAAAATGACAAAAGAGTCTCAGAATATTTTTACTGGGGATGACCGCCACGGGCAGGGCAAAGCCATAATGGTAAGGTCAGCGGTGAGACATTGACTTGGCCAACCTTCACCAACTCAACCAAGCGTGAAAGCAAGTCTCCAGCCAAGTCTGTCGTGGTGGGCAAAGGAAATTTGGAGAAGGCTTTGCTCCACAGTTGGCTTTGAATGAGCAACAGTTGGTTAGCGCATTGTGTTTATGAGAATAAGGCCATGGGCACGATCCCAGACCATCCAGTTAACATCATTTATTTCCATGACCACCAACTGCACCATTAGCCTTGCCAACAATATTAGAAATGCTCACATTTGGTTACCAGGACAATTGGGCGAGGAGCAATCCTACTACTGTAAGTAACACTGTGGATAAAAAGTCTTAGATGACACAATCTCATTTGCTTCTATCTGCATATTATCATTTTCGACCTACATTTTATCACTTCAGTTAGGGCTTGGGTGAAAGGGGTATATAAACAAGTAATATAAATATCAATAGACTAGTTTTCACCACAGGGGCCCATGGGTAGTTCCTGGAATTTAGCAGATGAAATCTTCATGTTCTTAGTGCTTGCATTTTCTAGTTAGTATCCAAATCAGGCACTCTCAACCTCTGTAGTATGAGACTTCTCAATTGTTTATTACAAGAAACCACAAAATAAGCCTATTTGAGGCATGCCAATGTTGACTGAAGATAGGCAGGGTGGGGCAGGAGGGGACTCAATTTGCACAGTTGATT